CTCTCTCTTGTCCCCTCTCTCTCTCTCTCTCTCTCCCCCTCCCTCTCCTCTCTCTCTCTGTCTCTCTGTCTCCTCACATTTAAAAAAATAATGATGAATAAAATTAAATTAAATAACTTTTAAAATTAAACTGAAGACAGTACTACCAAAGAAAGATCTTAAGTGTTTTTTAAAATAATTATTTTATTTCATTTTATTTATTATTATCATTATTAGTATTATTTTAATTTAAGCAGAGAGAGAGAACGAGAAAGTAAGAAGGCAAGCTACCAGGTCCGGGACTTAAACCATGGTCAGCCATGTGGGGATTCAGTGCTTTTAATCACCATGGCCCCGTTAAATATTTTTCTTTTGTTTTTTTATTTTTTAAAAGAATTATTTATTTAATTTTATTTATTCATTTATTCTAATTTGACGAGAGAGAGTCAGAGAGAGAGAGATGGAGAGTGAGAAAGCAAGCCACCCAGTCTGGGACTCTAACCATTGTCAACCACGTGGGAGTGTCCAGAACCTTAACCACCAAGCTACCCGCTTGTCCCAGCTGTTAAGTGTTTTTATTACAAAAAAAAAAAAAATTGATAACTAGTGAGATGAAGAAAATGCTCATTGTTTTCATAGTTTCTTTTTTTTTTTAAGAGAATTTTTTTTTGTTCGTTTGTTTGTTTTGCTACAGAGCCTGTGCTCTCACTGGAAAGACAGAGAGAAAGTGAGAAATCACCCCCTGGAGGGATGGCCACGCAGCAATCCCTTCTCCATTTTCCTCTCAGGATCGTAGGCACGTACACACATGCACCCAGCGTCAGTTTTCTAAGGCTCTGGATCCTGGACTGAACCAAGGTCAACTATGTGGGAGTCCAGGGATGTAACCATTATGTCATCTGCTGGTCACAGAACTGTTGTTTTTATTGAGGTTATTATTTTGCTATATTATTTACACTATATATATATATATATATATATACACACACACACACACACACACATTTATATGTGTATATATGTATGTATATAAATATATGTATATACATATATACATACATATACACATACATGCATATAACATCAATCAAAATATCAAGTCTTAACCTTGAATATATATACCACTTTTATTTGAAAATTATACCTCAACAAAACTGGGAAAAGTCCAGCAGGTGGCGGGCATGGTGGTTAAGGCAGCTGGATCCCACACGGCTGACTGCATGGTACAAGTGCTGGACCCAACGGCTTGAGAACACACCAGGTGCCTGTGTGCATGTGTCTGTGTGTTTGTGTGTGTGTGTTTATGTGCCCAGGATCCCGAGAAGAGGGTGGAGGAAAGGAGATTGCTGTGTGGTCCTCCCGCTCTGGGTGATTTCTCATTTTACGTCTGTGTCACTGAGGAGTGCACACACTGCATAGCAGAGTTAAAAAACTAGGAGGAGAAAGGTATTAGAAACAATAAAAAAAGTTTAAGCATAGGAAAAAGCAAAACTTCCTTCTTAGCCTCTTTTTTTAATATATTTTTTAT